TGAAAAAGGATGTCGTGATCTGTGACAAACTAATATTAAAGGTCTAATATTACGCAAAATTCACTCTTTTGAGCTTAAACAATGTCATAATGATGTTATTTAATCAAAAACATACATATCCACTTTCTTCCACTTTGTGACGTCATGAAACTGCAGTTTTCAAGTTAACACCTCCTTTTACCTTTAGTTCAATAGAGACTGACAATTCCTGGGCTGAGATTATCCAAATGACTCTAGTGAAGGTGTGTGGAGATTAAACACAGTGGCGCACTCACGGTATTACCACATGACATCACAAGGTGGAACAGAATATTTCCTGTTTGAAAGAAGAACTCTGCCTAAATATGTGAATGAAACAAAACACAACTCTAGGTATGTTGTTGATGAGGAAACAACATCAGAAAATAGTGCACAAGGGCCCTTTACATATCACGATAAGTGTATTAAAATAATTAAATTAAATCATTTCTCTAGAGCAGGAGTGTCAAACTCAAATTCACAGAGGAACAAAATTAAAAACTGGGACTAAGTCGTGGGCCAAACTAAATATTTACTGAAAAATTTCAACAACATCTGCATGTTTTTTCTTGTTTCGAGATATGTAATGTTAAACCTTTTCTTATTAAAATAAATTTAATAATAGTTTTGCTTAAACATTGAATCCAGAACAAGCAAAATATAAAATAATAACACAATTGGGTCCGGTTAAGCGGTAACGGAGGGAAACAGGGGCAGATTTTTTACATTCAAATAGCTCTTATTCAGAAACTAGAGGGACTATTGAAATAAATAAGGTATCAGAATGTAGGAAAGAGTTAACACTCCAACAGGGTAAAGTTAAACCTGTGATATTCTTTCAAGTTGTTGACAAAAAATTTAAAAACTCATGTCGGTAACGGAGGGAATGAAATATGCAGCACTTTTTGGGCAATAAATACAAACAGTGATAACTAGCGGTTCTCACTTACATATCCTTAACAAACTGGTTTGAATATTTGCTTCATATAGTTTTCTACCATATGGTACAAGATTAGTTTGAAAAACCTCTTACTTTTTGAGTCATGAGATTTTTTAGTAAGAAAGGTCATGGTAACGGAGGGAAAAGTAACAGGAGGGAAAATTGTGCAAACAAGTAGAAGGTGCATGATTTTGCATAATTTGTCAACTTTTTTCTTCTGAATACTTTAATATTACTTCAAAATGAAAGGTAATGTCAGTTCTTCCAAGCAAATTTTTATCATTTTAAATACTTTTTTTTTTTTTAAATCATGTACCTTCATCAACAGTTCAAAGATGGAATAACACAAGATATGATGAAATACATCAGTTTATTTACATGATTTGCAGGTCTTTGAAATTTGGGAAATAATTTTTGTTCCATGTTTCATACATGGTCTGTTTAAAACGTATGTAACTTTAGAACCAAAAATGGTACAGAAAAAAGTGTCAACAGTTTCATAAACTAGAGTACATATGTATCTGTTGAATACATTTTTATATCAGATGCATTAACTTGAATTTTTGGCCTTGCTGTTTACTTCTGCTTGACCGGGCCCCATTGTAAATAAATAATGTCTCTATAGCCAGTGGGCCAGCTCTAATACATACGTGATATGATCTCGCGGGCCAAATATAATTATATCACGGTCCAAATTTGACCCCTGGGCCTGAGTTTGACATGTCTGCTCTAGAATATGAATTTACACTAAACGCATCAGTCAGTCAAGCATAAATAATAAAGGAAGTTTGGAACAGAGCTCCAGCTATAACTCTTATCTGCACAATGGACTGAGTGAAGAGGTTTTATTACTACCATCAAGTCCATAAAAATGTGAGACTGACGATGATGAAAAAATGGTCTGTAATTATGTTCCACAGAGAAGTCTTCCGTCACAGTTGCTTCAAGTGGTTCAGATTTGGCGATAACAAACGTGATAATGTGATCTTTATCGTGTGTACAATTTCCTTGCATTAGTTTTGAGATTGTTGTTATTTTAGTTGTAATACGAGTTGTAGAGAGTTGAATAATAAATAATTACTTGTCCTGGAATTCACGTTACGTCTGCCTTCAAATGTTTTTCTTCTTAATCACTAATAACAGGTCAATCAGTGATGTCATGTAGGCCAGTTGTTGTACGGATACTCAGCATGAGGTGTGTTAGTGTCAACAACAGGGAGTTTCCACCTCATTACAACATGCAGAACAAGCAAACGAATATCTATTTACAGACTAGAAACCAGACCTCAGATTAGTTCATGCCGTCTTAGTGGTTATAAAGTAGTATTGCAGTAAAAGCAAATTGTATTACAGGCCAAAATTACGCCATTTTCTCATCTAAGTTATAAGTTTCCTCAACAAAAACAGACCTGGAGGCATATTTTGTTTCATTCAAACAAGTTTAACACACAAACGCTGCATAATTACGCTGAGTTCTTCTTCTCTCAAACAGAAAACACATATGTCCCCACGTTTTTAAACTCCGTACACCTTTACAAGAATCATTCCAGCACATGACATCACAAGGTGGAGCAGAGTATTTTGAGCTTTAGAGATGCAGACAGACTAATAATAAAGGATTACTCAAACATGCATGAATGAATGAAAGAAAAACGCAACGCCAGCTTTGTTTCTGAGCAGGTAACAGCATTATAACGTGGCTTAAATCTCACAAGAGTCAAACAGTGCACAAACTTAGAATTTAATAAGAATATAAAAGTAGCATGCTTCTAACAGAGTAGGTCAAATAATTGTATTTTCACTAATAAACTTAAGTTGTGACAATATCTGCATAAATCACTTAAATTTTTACATTTCACTGTTATTGTTGTGCAGAAAATCAAATATTATACAAATGTAGGACCTTATTCTATGCAGTACAGCCTGATAGACTTAGACAAATTTATTAATCCACAAGGGAAATAATTTGGACATAATTTTGGAAAAATCATGATATCGTATCATCAAAAGTCTCACAATAATATCGTGGGCTGTCACAACATATCGAATTACAAGTTCCTTTGCTTAAATTCATGGTTTTACATTAGCAACAGCTTATAAACATCAGGAACTACATATCCCATGATTCATTTCAGCGCAAACGACATAAAGAAATCTGTTTTTTACTTGAATTTTTGGGATTATGACGGAAATAATTCACACCAAAATCTTGTCAAGGTGTATTAAAAGCAAATAAGTGTCCCATCTACAATTATATTAACCTCTCTAAAATATCGCAATAAATATCGTACCGGGAAATGCATATTGTGATAATATCGTACCGAGAAATTTAGATATCGTTACATCCTTATTGGACAGAGTAGCTCACTCATCACAATATAATATAATAACAAAGAGTAAAAAAATATAAATCGTAATAATAAATTCTAAATAAGTAGGTGTCATATACGGCATAATTATAAAAATGTATAAGTCAAAACAAAATAGAAAAATAAGCAATAAAATATAGGGATGTAACATTAATCGAAATAACGTGATATCGTACGACGAGTACCATCACAATATGTTGAATCACAAGTCTCTTTGCTTAAATTAAGAGTTATGGTGCAGCAATAGCTAAAAAAGACAGAGAGAACTACATAAACCATGATCCTTTGCTCCATTTCAGTGCAGACTACACAAAGAAATAATTCTAATTTCTAATCATATTTAAGTCTTAGTTCTTTGGATTAAATCTTGTCAAGGCATTTTAAGAGGAAAAAAGAAGCATATTAACAGTTTTAGCTGTTTAGCCTCCACAAAATATCGCAATAAATATCGTATTGTGAGATGTATATCATGAAAATATCGTACCGAGAGATTTTTTTTAATTTTTTTTATTGTTACATCCCTAATCATGAGCCTCCCCACTAATATCGTGAGCTTTCCCGTGATATCGCAATAAATATCGTACCGTGAGGTTCATATCGTATCGTGAGACTAGGATATTGTTACACCCCTTATAAAATATATTAAAATACATAAAATAAGAAATAAATCTGATGTTATATCTTATACTAAAGGAAGTATAAAAGCTTTAATAATTAGAATATTCAGCCTATAGCGTGAAAAGTCAGTGCCGTACTGTCTATATCACAGGTGTCAAACATGCAGCTCGGGGCCAGATCAGGCCCTCCAAGACCTTTAATCTGGCCCTCGGCTGATTTTCTACTAAAATATTTTAATTATATTTTCTATTAAAATATTGTTAATTTTCTGTGATGTTTATCAGAGCAGCGTCTCCAGCGTCTCTGTACGTGGCCCCTCCCACCAGAGCAGCACAAATGAAGACTTGTCTCTTTCCAAACGCTCTTAAAGGACGATCGTTTTGACTGTTGACCGTGACACCCTCATCAACAAAATGTCCAAAATGAGAAAAGTGGAGCCGAGTGCAGGATTTTACAACAAAAATTTACTTATTCCTATTTCTACAAGTTAATTTTAAACAAGTTCATGTTAAAACATTATGTTGAAATTGTATTTTTCTTAAAGTTTCAGGTTGTTCATAATATTATAATATTTTGTAAAAGAAAGAGTTCAACAATTAAAAAAGATTTCTGTAGTAGATTTGTGTTTCTCTACACAAATATTTGAACTTATTGTTATTTTTGGGGTTTATATGCCATGAGTTTTCTTTGGGATCAAAGTAGGTTGGATACGACCCCCGGACCAAAATGAGTTTGACACCCCTGGTCTATATAATTATATTTGCATAGAATTAGCCTTATTAAAAAAAATAAACAAAAATGGTCCTGGGGCATGCACAGAGGAGCAAGTGTCAAATCTGTGATGTCAACAAACGAGCCCATCCTCTCCCAATGCAGCCTGCTTAGCTAGCTCGTACGAATGCGTGCAACTACCAGCGAAAACAATGACATAAATCGGGCTGTCCTGTTGATATTTTAGTCATTTTGGACATAAAGGTCACTCGTGTTGTGATTGAGATTGCAGGAAGGCAGTAGCAGAGCCGGGTAGCTAGCAGACAGACGCAGAGAGACCTTACCTGATCCGTATCACGCAGCGTATTACCTTTTACTGCGTCTCCAACGAGGGATCAAGACAGAAAGAGTGTAAAGCCAGCCGCTATTTGTCCATAAACGAATCCAAAAAATAAATCCGGTTTGTGGTTTAAGCGCTGTGTTGAGGTGCAGCGGCAGGTAGCGCCTCGGTGGCACTGACGCCGATTACACCTTCGTGACGCACGGTGGCGTTCCGAACCACTTCCGCGTTACGGCAGATCCGTGAGCGTGAACGGCGTGACGTAGGTGCCCGTCCCCCCTTCAGTCTCCCAGCATCATTACTTAGGAGCAGGTGAATGGACCAGTACTATAGACTCTTTGAAAAAGTGTAAACAAAAACATTCCAAATTTAGGAATGGAGGCAGCTGGAGGTAAAAACGAAGAGGAACATTATGTGATTTTAATGGGAAAACTGGGATTAATTTAAGAATATCACAAATTATGAAAAATTTGGAAAACGAAACCACTCAGGTACACGTGAATGATATCAGAGCCCTTACAGCTGTGTTTTACATTATTTGTTTATTTTATGATCGACTCTAAGCATTTTTACAAAGGCAGAATCCACATTTTGAGGTTTTACTGGATAAATCCTTACGTAGCCCACAACAGTTCACTTCACCTAAAGTTTTTTTTACACATTTCATCATAAATTATACTTTTTGTGAAGCCCAAATTCTATTTTGGGGTTAGAAAACTGTATTTTTTCCAGTCCTCTTTAACAGAGAAGCAAAGTAAATCAGATTTGTACAATGGAAATTTTAAATAGTTACTTATTTTTTGTTATAATATCATAAAACCATTAGTATTTAGGACTGCTCATCAATTAACCATTGTAAAATTTTGTTTATGGTTGTACAAACTAATAATAATGATAAAGAAGGGACAAAATTGTTGTATTGTTTATGACCATATCAAAATGAAAGGTAATAAAGTAAATAGTAAATAAAGGTTAACATTTTCAGCAAACTTGTTCTCTAAATTGTAAATTGTACTCCAAAGTGTACTCTATGCTATACAAATTCATTAGGTTCCCATTTCCACATGATATGGTGTTTTGTTTTGTTTTTTTCTTTCTTTTGGAAGGTAATAAGCAGTAGTCTGTCTCTTCTGCTATCTTCTAAATATTCCCTGTTCACTTTTGGTTTTGATTCTTAATGACATGTCTCTGTTCCCTATTCAGCCCTGGAACCAAACAGTGTCTGATCTTAAAGATACAGTATTTAGACCATTGAGCAGTTAAGTGTTTTTGGAGATAGATATATTTAATGCCATCTTGTGGAACATTCTAGGTGGCAATGAAAAATGACATAGTTCACCTATGAAAAACAACAGTCATTATAGTCTTAAAAATATCTCTAATGTTTTCATCTTAATATAGGGTAGACATCCCTATTTCCCCGGGACAGTCCCAGTTTTGAGCCCTGTGTCCCCTGTCAGAGCAGATTTATCCAAAACCAGTGATTTGTCCCAGTTTTGTACAAAAAGTGTCCCAGGTGTCCCTATTTTGAACTGGCCAGGCCGGTGCCACCTTGTGCCTCCGATCAATTTCATTTCTCTCCAGCGACTAGGTCAGGAATCAGAATACACTAGACGGTTTTGCAAGAACCCTGGAAGTTGTAGACCGCGCACCGGCCAATCACGGAAGAGCCGTGAAGCCATGACGTCAAACTCAAGCATCTGTCTGGGTCCCTTTTGTGGAACAGCACAACAGTAAACAAAGTCGAGGTGGATGTAGACGAAGACAGACATTCTGTGTTGTCAAAGATTCCCGAGTTGAGGATTTAAAGCCGGAACAAAGAGAATGTTTGGTGAATTTTATCAAGGGGAAAGATGTTATTGTCCTTCTTCCTACGGGATTTGGGAAAAGCTTAATATAACAGTTAGCCCCATTAGTGGCACATTACATATGTCACGACCAAATAGCAGCGATTGGTTAAATTACAAAAGTACCCACCTACCGCCGAGTGAACAAATCCTAATGCTGCGAGGTCAGACAGTTTCCATGAAGTCAAACCGGCTGATGAATCAGACAAATTTTTGATCAATTTCATCTAAAACAGGTCTAAACTAAGACTAAACCAGGCCTAAAACATAACTGTCACAATTTTAGACTCATCTGATCCACACTAAAGAGGAGCATCAATTATGATTTGTTTTGCCAAAATACAAAAATCCATGCTTGTAAATGACCATAAAACAAAAAAGAAAATGTCCCTCAGATTATGACGGACACAAAAACGCACAATGTTACATGCTCTTTTCACATTTTTATTCATACCAACCATCCCAACCCGAGTGTGTCCCAGTTTAGAATTCTGAAAATCTGGTCACTTTATCTTAATATTTAAAATCTAAATAGAATAAGACTAGGCCCACTCAAGTACATCTCGCTGTGTTAATGGTTGGTCAGTGCATTTACGAGCAGCTCTGTTAATGCTGTTTGCTTTGCAGATGACTTCATGCTGTGTTATATAATCCTGTAGTGGAGTGGACGGGCTATAGCTCTGGCCTCTGCTGCTTCCACTCAGATGCTCACCAGAGTGTCTCCAATGACAGAGCAGCGCGTAACATTATATAACCACTGCACAGCTCTTGGCTTTTCATAAAACTGCATGATAAAAGGCCCTATACTGTGCTTTTTTGATGTTATTTTATGTTGTTTCCTTATCACTAACAGACCTGGAGTTGTGTTTTGTTTCATTCACACGTTTAACACACAAATTTGGCATATTTTGTGTTATCATGTGTTATTTTTATCATGTGAATAAGTAAAAGTGGAAATAGAAGAGCAATTAGGCAAAAAATCTATGTCTATGTTTACCCACTACTACATAATTCTTACATTAATACTACTAAATACATAAGCTTAAATGGGCTTTGATAAGAATTTCAAGATCTAGAAGGTCCTATATTACACAAAATTGACTTTTATGAGCTTTTAATCATGTTATAATGTTGTTTTCTCGTCACAAACAGATCTGGAGTTGTGTTTTGTTTCATTCACAAACGTTTAACACACAAATCCGGGCAAATGAATGAGCAAAAATGAAAGTAGAAGAGCAATTAGGCAACAAATATGTATATTTACACAATACTACATACAACTACTAACAGTAATTCTACTAAATACATAAGCTTAAATGGGCTTTGATAAGGATTTCAAGATCTAAAAGGTTCTATATTACACAAAATTGACTTTTATGAGCTTTTAATCATGTTATAATGTTTTCTTCCTCAAAAACAGATCTGGAGTTGTGTTTTGTTTCATTCACAAATGTTTAACACACAAATCCGGCAAATGAATGAACAAAAATGAAAATAAAAGAGCAATTAGGCAACAAATATGTATATTTACACAATACTACATACAACTACTAACAGTAATTCTACTAAATACATAAGCTTAAATGGGCTTTGATAAGGATTTCAAGATCTAAAAGGTTCTATATTACACAAAATTGACTTTTATGAGCTTTTAATCATGTTATAATGTTTTCTTCCTCAAAAACAGATCTGGAGTTGTGTTTTATTTCATTCACACATGTTTAACAAACAAATCCATCAAATGAATGAACAAAAATGGAAATAGAAGAGCAATTAGGCAAAAAAATACGTATGTTTACACAATACTACATACAGTTATTAATACTATTTCTACTAAATACATAAGCTTAAATGGGCTTTGGTAAGGATTTCAAGATCTAAAAGCTCCTATATTACACAAAATTGACTTTTGTGAGCTTTTAATCATGTTATAATGTTGTTTCCTCATCACATACAGACCTGAAGCTGTGTTTTGTTTCATTCACACAACACACAAATCCGGCATAGTTTGTATTATCATGCATTGTTCCTGGTTTGTTAATCAAATGAATGAGTAAAAATAGAAATAGAAGAGCAATTAAGCAAAAACTCTATGTCTATGTTTACACAATCGTACTACATACTAATACTACTAATAAATACATAAACTTAAATGGGCGTCGCTATCTAAAAGGTCCTATATTACACAAAATTTACTTTTATGAGCTTTTAATCATTTTATAATGTTGTTTCCTCATCACAAACAGATCTGGAGTTGTGTTTTATTTCATTCACACAACACACAAATCTGGCATATTTTGTATTATCATGCATTATTCCTGTTTTTTCATATTAAATGAATGAGTAAAACTGGAAATAGAAGAGCAATTAGGCAAAAAATATGTATGTTTACACAATATATAGTACTACCAGAGGTGGGATGAAGTTGTTGTTTTGCAAGTCTCAAATAAATATCTCGTCTTTGACCTCAAGTCTGAGTCAAGTCAAATACAGGCAAGTCCAAGTTGAGTCTCGAGTCTCATAAGTCCAAATCAAGTCCAAGTCGTCTGCTTTGAGCTTCAAGTCATTTCAAGTCTTTAAACCAAAGTACCAAACATAGCTTAGATTTTTGCAATTTATATTAATTTCAAACTAAATTGTTCTTAAAAAAAATCATATTCAATCAATCAATCATCAATCATCATTATATTTGAATATTTATAGGGTATACAAGAGATGTAGAAATGTACATTTTTCCTTTTTAAATGTTTTGACAAGATTTTAGAGTGATTAATTGCAGTCAGAATAGAAAGAATTCAGATTTATAAGTGCTTCTCAAGTCACAGGCCTCAAGTCCGGGTTAAGTCCCAAGTCACAGAACTTCAAGTCCAAATTGAGTCCCAAGTCTTAATCCAGGGGTGTCAAACTCAAATTCACAGAGGCCAAAATGAAAAACTGGGATTAAGTCGTGGGCCAAACTAAATATTTATTGGAAAATTTCAATAACATCTGCATGTTTTCTCTTCTTTCGAGATATGTAATATTAAAACTTTTCTCATTAAAATAAATGTTAAATAATAATTTTGCTTAAACATTGAATTCAGAACAAGCAGAATATACAATCATAACACAATTTAAAATAAATAATGTCTCTATGGCCTATCTGCAGCCGGCGGGCAGCTCTAATACATATTTGATATGATTTCATGGGCCAAATATAATTATATTGTGGGCCAAATTTGCTCCCCCCCCGACCTGAGTTTGACATGTCTGTCTTAGTCCATTTTATCAAGTCAAGTCTCAAGTCCTAAAAATAGTGACTCAAGTCTGACTCAAGTCCAAGTCATGTGTTGCAAGTCCCCACCTCTGGT